CCGTAGCACTACGTAAGACTTGTCACTGGTGTCAATATGATTGACTGTGATCTGAACTTCGAGGGCCTTGTCAGGATAGAACACAAATGGCCTGAGGCGAATGACTTCGCAATGAGAATATCCAAGCGATGGGATGTGCGGCATGTGGCGACGACCGCGCTGAAAAGGAAATCCTAGAAAAAAAATCAAAACCATTTGGCTACGAATAATTTTCTGTCTTCTACTTTAAATTTGTAATGGAACTCTAAACCATTTATACCAGCCAAGGCGTCATTACCAAAGAACCAACAACAATAAGATGATTGAAACCACAAAATAAAGTAGTTTTTTCTGAAAATTACCCTACATTGGATAGCAGTGTGAAGACGAGGACAATGTCACTTCTCCCGGCTCTAACACTGCTTCTGCCGCTCTGACTTCTGACAGCCACCATTTCTGACACCCACCACCGACACCTACCACCATTTCGACACCAGTCGAAATGACGACCATTACTACCAACAGTAAGATCTACGTGGAACACCGATGCTGCCAGTACCACTGGCATTGACATTTTCATTGACACTATCACCGTCATCTCTTCAGGTGTCTAGAAACGGATTTCCAGATAAAAGAAACCGATAAAAGCCAAATTTTTTTACTCAAATGTAACTAACCTTCACAGCTACCAGGGTGCTGTACAGTGTAGTTAAGTCGAAGAATACACATTTCCTGCCGAAACAGACACTCGTTATCGTATGTTGAGCCGTTTGATGAGCAGATAGGTTCTTGGTATGATGGACAGCTCTCTACAGAAACGCATCTAGCATCATAAGTCCCAAATGCTTTGCACAGACAGTGATAATGGCAAACGACGTCAATACAAGGGTCCAAGTCTGCGAGAAAAACGTGGAAACCTGAAAGAAGATGCCGGCAAGGTAACAAGTTTACCATCGTAGATAATTTATTTGCTACTCCTATCTCACTTTTTAAATGCTTATAGAAGGTGGTTAATTTAGAAAAGACATCAAAAATAGGATGACAAAGCCCTAAATTAAAAATTACAACCACGCTCAACGAAGTTACATTTTGACTGACGAACTACAAAGTTGTATAAGTATGTCACTTTGCAGGAACAATGAAAACTTAGCCTTTCTAAAATTGACAGAAAAGTAGTCATGAATTTCTTTGCTCACCACCAGTCACCATGTAATCCACGGTAATGACATCCTTATTGATTGAATCGCTGTTAAATGTTTTGACACAAATCTGAGCTTCAGTTTTAGATGTGTGCTAAATAAAAACAAAAATAAGAAGAAATCATTTCAATATAGTAACATAGCTAATAGTCCCATTTTTTCATGGAGGAGCTAAACCAATATTAGAACACATTACTAACCTCCACCCAGGTAGTGACAGCATTGCATTGGGAGCCGGATTGAAGAGAATTGTTCATTCTAGTGCTTCGCTTTGCAGTCACCAAAACAACCGGTGGAGCGTAGAAGGGCTCTGTAAAGTTTATGGTCTGAATTAAAGAAAAAAGAATAAGTAAATGACGAGTATTTCCTCAAGGGTTAGAGTGCAGTGTGAACAGCAGTAGAACTGCTCTAAGGCCACACTTTGCTGGTGGGAGGTGGGGGGCTAAGTATATGAGAAATAGAAAAGAGGAAAACAGAATGGGAGAAGAGAAATCGATGGTACTAAACTTTAAGCCGGTTGCAGGTCAAACGCAGACAAAACTTTAAACAAAGTGAAACGATAAAAGAAGGAACAAAAATTACAAATAAAAATTACATTACTTACTTGACAAAAGGCGTAAATATGCTGCGGAGATGGTGAGTTTGTACTGGAAAATAACAAACTGTTGATGAAGGTAAAGTTGTCGACGCTGATGTTGTTGAAAGCTATCCAATTCTATCGATCAAATAAAAGCTTCCATAGTTACTCTGACAAACATAGAATATTTAAGCGTTTTTCTGTCGATGATAATTTTTTTTTAGAATTAAGCTCAGCTAAGTGTTTCTCATCTCTTCCAATAAATTTAAATACATTTTCAGAGGACAGCACCTTTTAAAACTCGCGGTCACTTACTACTTTTAGGTTCTTGTGTGGACCATCGAAAATCTTGGCTTCCCTCAAGCAAATCTTAAAGCTATTTACTTTCAAGTCCTCGACCCACAATGCCATGGCATCCTGAGTTCTGTTGTTAACACCGTGATTGGCAGTCACGAAAATAGCTGGAGGAGATAGAAAACGCTGAAGCATAAGTAGACAAGTTCTTATCCAATGCATTTTGAGACTATGCCGATACCCTTAATTAAGGAGTGAGGGAAATACAATGAACCACATTTAAACCTTTATTGGAAACAACCCTACCAATGATACTATTAATAATGGTAACAAATTATGAATTCAGTAAATGGCTTGAACCCCCCCCATTGT